AGTATGTCCTTGATTTTTAAGAGATATTCTTAAATCAAATATAAAAAGTGAAATTATTATGATGTTTTGCAGGCACTTTCTCATTAATTATGTAACGTATGTTTCCTGTTAATGCTAGTGTATTGTGTATAATTAAATATGGAAAAATTTCTGAGTTATACGGTACTACTTTAGATCATACAATTTTTCAAATTCAAGATTCAGTGATTCATCATTATAACTGAATTGTTTTCGTGGGCAGAAGTGAAGATCTCATGTTACAATAAACACTCTTAAAAAGTCAACTGTCAAAAACAATAAATTAATTCACAATCGTGTGAATAATTTATCTTGCATGAGTTATTGTTATTATTATTATTATTATTATTAATAATTATTGTTCTGTAGTTACTAGATAAAAAATAGGCCGACAGCGGGAGCATGTGCCTACTATTTTGTAATTATTGCTGGCCTGGAAAAGCCAGTCTAACTGGCGTTTATAATGGTTTGCATTTGCGACTAGAATATCTAAAACGTTAGTGATGTGTTTATTGTGTCTGTGTAGTCCATCTGGGTTGAGGTTTATGTACAGTTTAAGTGTACTGTTTTTCTACAGTTTAATCATCCATTGCCAATTTTGGGATAAAATAAATTAGCCTACTGTTGAGTAGTATCAGTGGCATATCTAGGAGTTTTGAGATGGGGGGGGGGGCTCGATGATCAGTTGAGGGGCGCTAATTTGCAGAATATGGTGATTTTAGGTGGTTTTTAACTACTTGACCGTGATTTTTGGGGGGCGCGTGTTATATAATTTAGAACATAATATAGAGTGATGATTTTGGGGGGGGGGGTGCGCAAGTAATTGTTGGAGGGATGTGCACCCCTGTGCATCCCCCAAGATACGCCACTGAGTAGTGTATACTGTTTTTAAACAAAAGTGTAACACCTGCGGAATCTCCAAGGCATACAAAATATTGTAATCGGACAAGTACAATCATTCCTAATTTTACCAGTAAATTATTAGTTAATTTACGTTTTAACATTATAAAGTAATGTAATCAGTTGTGTTATTCTTACTTTTTATACCATTTTATGCATATTATTTTGTACATGGTATTAAATAAATTTAATCAACTAATAACAAGGCGACTTATACCTTGAAATGTTGATTAAGTAGGCTATTAGAGTCTTTAAACATTTGGAGTTCTTTAGCATTTATTCAGTACAATGATGTGAAAATTACTGATAGCAATCAGTATAGTATGTAAAATTGAGTATAATAAATAGATAGCATTATCGTGTAGAGTACATTGCTGAATAAAAAATATAATCACTTGTAAAAGGTTTACCACACTCTAAATGTATTATAATATAATTAATATTACTTTATACATATGTCATCATTATTTAATACTTAGTTAATTAATATTAATATTTAATCATTAACTGTATTATGATTGTTTTTATTGTCACTAATTGTTATTGTTGATTAATTAATATCGTTTTTTATTAAAATAAACAGCAAGAAGAATTTATTATTGTTATTTTTTTTTATGGTTGATTAGTATAATCATTAATAAATGAATAATAAATTAGTATCTAGTGGAATGTTTTAATGTGATTCCTAGACATATTGTAATTGTTAGTTTTTGCGAGCTGTAAAAATATTACGCGAGTTAATGGCTAGTATACATAGCACCACAAGTATTTGTTCTTTGTGCAGTTACTAAAGTCAGGCAGAATGTGGCATCTATTATCTACTACCTACTCCCACGCACTCTCAATTGCATATCATTACCTCGTGCAAACTGACTAGCAACCAGCAAATACGCTTTTACAGTCTTATCAGAAGCCATGCCACTTTAACCTACAGACTACGCCGAAATTACAGCATGAAAATTAGGCTAGACTTGACTTGAAATACTATATTGCCTTTTGACTTTATACTGCTAGGCTATTCTTAGTGGTGGAATTAGTACATGTGTGTGTGTCTACTTCGAGAGTGGGGAGATATTGCCATATCTGCCGGCTATATTAATAGGTAATTATAAAGGTACTGTATGGGCTATTAACTCGCAAATTATTCAAATTGCATATTTAACCACTAATATAGCGGATTAACTCGCAAATTATTCAAATTGCATATTTAACAGCTATATAGCGGCTCTGCCCTTGAGCCATGCCATTTTCAGGTTGCTGGGTGGAATATAATAATAATAATATGTCGTTCTTTAATAGCGCTTCATGCACAAAGCCAAAGCGCTT